TTCTCTTGATCCTTAAAATTCTTCTCTCTTCCTGTAGGTAGCTCAGGAGAGCTGCAATGCCTGTGATGCCTCTCTGGTCGTAGTTGATTTTAACAAAGCTCGCACTCCACTTCCTGCTGGCGAGACCCAACAAACTGGCTGCGTTTTCTGTGACGTGGTCTTCCAGGATCTAGTGGAGCTCAAACATGCCACCATGAGGCACGCCATGCACCGGGGTGGGGGAGCAAGACGAGGACGTGGACGGGGGAGGGGACGCCGTAGCAATCCTAAAAAACCTAAAGACAAAATGGCTGCCTTGGCAGCTTACTTTGTGTAGTGTCCCTGTATAGTGCATCTTAGTTGCTTGAAACATATAAAGTTGTATATATAATTGACTTTTTACATGTGTTCAGTTGCACTAAAGTGAAATATGTATCAAAAACATAAGTCTGTTAACCCTATAAACAGGTTATATACAATGGCTTCAAAAAGTATTCTTATATTTTCACAATTTGCACACTTTGTGTTAATGTCATTTTAAATGGATTAAATAGCCATGTTTCCATCAATCAGTAAGCCATATTGACTTTGACAGTGAAAACATTTAGCAAATTTACTGAAAAGCAAAAACTGAAATGTCTACTGTACAAAGGTTTACAGAGTTTTAATTCATTACTTTGTAAAAGCCCCTTCAGCAACAGTTAAAGTTTGCAGTCTTTTTGAGTATGTCTTTACAAACTTTGCACACCACGATTTGGGCAGTTTATCTCATTCTTCCTGGCAGATGAGTTTCCATCAAATTTGATGGTAAGAACTGTGATCTCAGGTCTTTCCGCAATGTCCTTAGGGGTTTTAAGTCTGGACTTTGGGCCCCTCAAGGTCAGTCAGAGACTACTTTAAAATTTATGGAGAACTGCTGAGGTTGTTGTCTTTGTGGAAGGTTCTCCATCTCCTCAGAAGACTTTTGAACAAAGCACTTCTTGCCTGGTGACTTAGTTTGGTCAGACAGCCAACTGTAGGAATAGTCCTGGTGGTTCCAGTCTTCTTCCATTTCACAGCTACTGAGGTCACTGTGCTCCTGGGAACATTCAGAGCTTTAGAAATAGTTTTATACCTTTGTCTACCTTAAGGCCCGGCCACTGGACTTTTGACACGACCCATTACAAACCCATTAATTCCTGAATGGCAAAAAGCAACCTTACTGTAAACAACCTCCTGCTCGGCTGGAGGGTGCTAAAAATGGGCACAGTGGCCGGCGTCAAACACATCGCCCCGTGCAACCACATGGGCAAGCAGCTTCAAGCTACAATTTTTCAAACTTTGAAACGATGTCCTGTTCGTCATGTTACACTGACGCTGTCACCAGGTGGCGCCAAATGGACGTCTGGTTGGTACGCTTTATGACATTTAGGAATGGGAGCCGTCCCTGGTAGGCTAGTGGTTAAAGCGCAGCGGCGAGAGCGCCCGGGTTCGAATCAGGGTTGCGTCAGGAAGGGCATCCAGTGCAAAACACGTGCCAAATGTCAACATTGCGAGTCGTCAGATTCGCTGTGGTGACCCCTAAATGGGAAAAGCCGAAAGTGACTTTCTTTCTTTCTGTGACATTTAGGAATGACTTTTTTGGATACCTTCTGATATTTGGGACACCTGCCCAAGTGCTTCCCCAGCATGTCACAGAGTATCCTGCATGTCTCTGTCTGAATGGGATGCTTTTTGACACTTCCCGAATGGAAAAAAATGTTTCAAAATGACGTGATATTTGCCATTCCTGAGGTGCCTATTCCTAATGGACAGTTTCTGAGGTGCCATTTGGTATACATTTGTATGGGCATCCCAGGTATGCTAAATGTCACATCCTTTTGCAATACTTTTGGACACTTCAAAACTCTGTGACCTTTTTGACCTTTTGTCCTTTTTTAGGATCAAAAGAATGAACTAGCTTCACCGAACTTTGGTTACAAGACCTACACACACCCCTGTATCACAGAATTTTTGTGACCCTCAAACACTTGTCTGTAAGGTACAAATTCTGTGACGTTCGGGGAAACATTTTGCCAGGGACACCCTGGGCTCAGTGGACACCCTTCTCAATTAATGACTTTATTTCAAGATATTATTGTGAAACTGAAATATATTGCCCAACAGACACTGCTCTTCAAGAAGGGGGTTGCTTCACTCTCTAAGGACACTCCTGGAAGAAGACAGAGTATCATGTGGTGTAGAGACCTGTTCTTTTGTTTGTTGGGCAAGGGTCTCAAGACTGGTGTCTGGTGTGAATTTCAAGGCTTGTGGGGCTATTTCTGAGGAAATATCACAATTTTTAACCGTCCATTTGGGCATCACTTTCCATTCATTTAGCATATCAAAATTTTCTTTTTGAAAGTAATTAGAGTAGGAGGAGCTAGTGAGTCCAATCCAGGTCAGTTCATCTCCACTCGGGCGAGGCAACAACAGCAAGTCAAGCCACACAGAGATATGCCCTGCTTGAGACAAATATTGCCACACCAGAACCTGATCACCATATAGTGGAAGGAGTTTTTTATCTTTCTCCCTGGGGGAGACCCGGACCTGGATGAGGTGTTTGAAGAAGACAGCAGGAGAATCAACCCAAAGTTTAATAAAGAATTTAAAAATTTACAAAATTGATTTTTTGTTATACAAGATTATTCGAACCTAACTACAACAGTCAAACTATTTCAAAGCAGGTGCACTGCCTGAAATAGTCTTGCGTGTCACTTCTGTGATTGACAATTGTTCAAAGTAATAGGAATAGGACTGACCATCACCCCAAGAGTAAGGATCATGCATCAAAGGGATTTTATTACATTTGGTCTGACCACCAGGACACAGACATAGTTTGTTGCTCTCTGATTGGTTTTATAGGTGTTATGATTGTTACTCTCTAAAATATTAAATAATTTGCAGAGTGAAAGGGTTAGTGTCAGGGTTTAGTTTCAAGGAAGTTTAGCCAACAGTTTTTTGATAGATGTATGGCTTAAAACTGAATTAATTCTCTTTTCACAATTGCTGTAATCAAATAAGTATTAAATTAATATTTTAATAATTCTAAAGGTTTATGTGAGGGAAAACATTGCTGTTTCACCCCAGATATATAAGTTTAACCTGCTAGTTTTGTTGGAGGTAAGGTAATTTCAATTTAGAATAAAAATAAATATTAGTCTGATAAATTAGGAAAATTTCACCCCTTTTGTAATGTAACGCTCTAAATGTTTTATATGTTTGGATAAAATAAGAATTATTTTATTTGAATTTGGGGGAAATAAAAGCTAGTGTTTCTCTTCTATAATTAGGTTTCTCTCTAAACGTTGGTATATGTACCAATTAAAAGAAAATTATAACACTAAACGCAACGGATAATTTAGAAGGCCCCCATTTTTAACTAAACAACAGTGTAAAACCTAACACATCCAATCTCTGCACAACATCAGCAGCATGAGTCAAAATGACCAGCAGCAGAGGCCCTAGGTCAACCCTACGATGGTGGCACCACCTACTGTAGCTAACCAGTTAGTGCAGGCTTTCACTGATTACCCTGCGATCATCTGTAGTACGGGCTTTGTCTTATCAACAATTGTAGAAAGTATGTACATTTACTATAGCCTAAAATCTGCTGTCTATATTGTTTATCTAACAACATAGTACTAGTAGTAGTCATTTAGCTCTCCATGTGATTTTTTAAAATTGTTTCAGTCCATGAGTGTTTATACAGGGTTTTTGTCTGAGTCTATTGTATTATTGGTAAGGAAATTGTCATTTTAATCTGTATTTCAGTTTATAGCACTTTCACATTCTTGTGTGGAGATGAGGGAGGTTTGGTTTGCATTCCTGTGATTCCTTACCCTGGAAACTGATCAGATAAGAAGGATGCAATTGAAACTTATTGTCTAAGGTCAGAAGTGTGCTGGCAGAGCCTGGTTTATGCATTGGGGGTAGTTTGCATGTAGCAGTCTCCAGCTGGTCCTCGATGCCCAGAATCAGTCTAATGTGTTGATTATGAATATTCAGAGTCCTTCAGAATAAAGCATCACTTCCAAAATGTCTGCTTTTGACTTGTGACCACTACATAAAGAGTACTGTGTGAGTTTCTTACCTAGGTTTAATAAAGGCTTAATAATCTGATAAAGTACCTAATGAATCAAATATAATTTAAAAAATCCATAATTTCCCTTTAAAATACACAAAGGGTCAAAGAATGGTGTGAGTGAAAATCCCTGACTATCTACCTGACTATCTAATACAAACTCGTACTGATTAGAAAATGATTCTTTCATTGTATTATATTGACCCATCGGTTGGAAATATAAACAGCGCATCCCTATTGTTGTTGTAGGTATTACCACCCTAATGAAAAGAATGGTGTGTCACGGTGATAAGATGTCATCATTAAGGGTTTTCACTAAGGGATGGGGGAGGGTCACTGCTGATTCTACATTGGTTCTGTGGAGCTATTGTTGCGCATTTTCAAGATAGATCTGAAGGTGGACGTGATCCTGGCCTTGTACTCATCCAGCTACAATCATAGCCGTACACTGTCAGCAGCCAGACGGGTGTTGGCAGAGGGGGTATCTGGGGCGGTGGTGGAAACTGACCCCTCGTGGTGCCCAAAGCCAGGAACTGCTCACACATGCCAAGGTACTGGACTGCTCTCCACATCCATGTGCCAAAGTGCTGCTCCCGCAGGGTGTTGTACGTCAGAGTGGCACTGTTGCCCAAAGTGCGAGACCTCAGCTGTCCAATCACCCTCGGGTCACAGGACAGCCTGTACAAACACAACACAAACATTATATGCAGCTTTGCCCCCAACATAAATGTCTCATTTAGTGTTGTTATGTATTTTTTAGTCAGATAGATAATGGTTAGGTACTTGTATTAGAAATGTCTTTAGTGTAGACAGGATGTCTAGCTCAGGCTGTTAAATGCTTACTCATTTCCAGGAGTTACTCCAGGTTGTTTATGTTCCAGGATAACTAGATAGAAAGTGGCTACTGTATGATATGTTCAGCCGTAATCTTAATCATAATATCTTCCTAGGCTTAATGTCCGGACATGTCCCTGAATGTCCTGTATGTTCTTAGATACACACCACATAATCAACACTCGCACACATTGATTTTCTCCATGTTTTGACTACTGCTACAGTCAGCTGTAAAGCTGACATATCAGGTGACGCCACGGTTTGACGTCCCTGTGTAGAATGGGGTTAGCCCAAACCAGATATAATGTACAGGCCTGTTGGGGTTCGGGGTCTTTCATTCTTCATCTGCCTGCGCGCAGTATTGGAGGTGAAGGGTACCTGAGCGTGTAATGTTAATTTTACCTGTGATCCTTTGAATAAACCAGCACGGTTTTTTGTATCCACTTGGACCGCCTCGTCTCTCTGAGTTCCTGGTTAAGAGAACTGGGAAATATCTTTCAGTGTGTTGAACACAAACAGCGTATGCATTGTTTCATCTTCACATACTTGTATGATGGTACATCTTATATCGATGGCACTCTAGGTACTCTGTGGCCATGAGATACCAGCCGTCAATGTCTAGGACCCTCTGGATGGTCCTGTACAGTCCAGCCTTTGCCATGTATTCAATACATAAAGAGTGGGGGCATATCAGCTAGAGATGCCAGATCTGGTGTGGCATCTAGAGGAACAGCCAACATGCAAAGAAGGGGTAGGGGGATGCGGAGGCTGGCTGTAGATTGGCCGGGAGGGGGGAGAGGTACCACCAGAGATTCAGCTCATTGACGAGCCAAGGCCTCCCAGAGCTGTCCCTAGAAAACACCACATGACCAATTGAGTGAGACCTGCTCGCCATGTCTGTGGCAGGAGAGAATAAGAGAAACAAAGAGGACATTTTCAAATCTGATATTATATCAAAAGTAAGAGCTGTAGGGCAGAAGTGACATTAAGGCCCAATGAGCAAATGTTACTCTTACACAGACAGGCTCACCCCAGTACTGCCAGTAGTTGGTGGGGGAGGGAGTAAGGCTGGGCTTTATTATTCTAATTCTGAACACCACAGCATTGTCAGCTGTGGCCTGAGTTGTGTCTAATGCATCATGGTTCCACATGCCAAGGAGCAGCATGAACAAAAAAACCAGACTGTGAGACTTAAAGATGGGAGAGGGGACAGGAACAACAGTAGGCTACTGAATCTAAGCAGAAACACACCTGCAGCAGTGATTAGGAGGTTTAGGAACTTGAAAAACGACACCCTGCTTAGTTTGCTATTTACACAACCTTGATTTGTAAATCAGACAACCCAGAGTTAAGACCAGGGCAGAGGGTTGTAGTCTTACATGCCTCTCTGCTGTCTCTTTGCAGCTGCTACCTACCCAAAATTCCCAGTACCCCACAAAGACTATCTGCCCCCTGACCACCTAAATTATATAAATCAAAAATCAACTCAAGAGGAGTTGATTTTACAAGTGAAATATAAAGTAGATAAACAGTAGCACAGAGTCT